TTTTTTTTGCACCCTCAGATTCCAGATTTTCAAATAGTTGTATCTCGGCCAAATATTGTAATAATCCTAACAAACCATACATCAATGGAAAGCATATTTATTCAGCTTTCAGAAGATGTATAAATCTCAATTTCGAGAAATTGACCCTTATGACTGGTTTTGTGGTCCAGGGACACACACACACACACACACATAATACTATTTAATACTAGCAAATGAAATGTTGTTGAAAATGAAGATCTGCTGAGTGTGAAAGTGCATGTAATGAATTTTTGGTTGTTCTTAATGCTTTAAAACACACACACTGTAATGCATATATTTTCATAACCACAGTTCTAATTCGATTAATACTTACCTATTCATGATTACAGCTTTTCATAGTGTAATGCATATGTGTTTTAATGCTTTATACTCTTCAAAAGTGTAACCTTGAATAGTATGTATAATGTATTAGTGAATAACCTTGGTTACAGTTATTTACTAGAACAACTGTATTATAATACAGTAAAAATGGAAAGGCAGTGGAAAAGATTCTCGGTTCTGAAATCAAACAGTGGAGGTTTTTCCGGCTCAGGATTAAAAGATTATGAACGACTGTCAGAGGTGTGATGCTTTCAGGTGAATGAAGTCTTCAGTGTCACATGATCTTCAGAAAGCATTCTAATATGCTGATTTGCTGCTCAAGAAACATTTCTGATTATTATCAATGTTGAAAACAGTTGTGCTGCACAATACTTTTGTGGAAACTGTGATGCATTTTATTTTTCAGGATTCTTTGATTAATAGAAAGTTCAAAAGAACAGCATTTGTTTGACATTTTTTATTTTGTAACATTATAAATGTCTTTACTGTCACTTCTGATCAATTGAATGTTTCCATCCTGAATAAAAGTATTAATTTCTTTCAAATAAAAATCTTACTGATCCCAAACTTTTGAACATAGGTGTTTATTTTATAATGGATTTATTGGTTAGTGTATTTTGTGACCCTCACCTCCAGTTTTTGGTGTGCGGCGGCGCCTCCTCCAATCGAATCAGAGCGTATCGCGCCGCGTTGAGCGACAGACCGCGGATCCCGTCGCCCCATTCCTTCTCCGCCCTGAACACAGATATAAAAATTGAGTTTAAACTCACAATGACACCGCAGACAAACACTCAGTCAGATGAAGCTGTAATCAGCTTAGCGTCTGCACAGACTCACGGCGTGGGCTGTAATGCGCTTCTGCAGCTCTTACCCGCGGTACTCGATGTATTTGTAGATGCATCCAGCGATGAGCATGGCCACCAGAGCGTAGTACCAGGAGGAAATGAACATCAGAGCCAGACACAAACTCATGCCGAGAAACGAAAGAGCCCTGATGAAGGAGAACAGTAGTGACTCAATATATTGAATTAATCAATACAAAAGAAAAAAAAATCACCTATATATCAATCAGATTAAACAGAGAGCAAATGAAGACCTTTCTGTGCAACTAACGACACCAAATACATTAAAGATATGCGTTTTAACATAAAAAATTAAGATACTGTTTCAATGAAGACCCTAGTAATTTCATGTTTCTCTTCTAGAGTTTCAGAAGAGATCTCAACAATGTCAACTACTGTCTCCTTTGGGTCTATTTTAATTTCTCCTGAGGTGAACGAGAGACGGTTGATACTTAAATAGCATTAACTGAGAAATAAGTTTCTTGAGGTATAAAACAGCAACATATCAGCAATGAAATGTTTCGCTGTGTAATATTATACATGTCAGTGTTGTCAAATGTACAAATGTACATAAGTCATTGAACTTTGGTTCTCCAGTTTTTGTATATAAAACACCTCCAACCAAGATTAAAATAAGTCCATTTTGATTGCATATTCATTTAAGAGACTTGATGGAATTGACTGGACTGTGAAAAAGCTCCAAATAGTGCAAATTATTAGGGGAAAAAAATAAAGTACATATGTGACCCTGGAGCACAAAACCAGCCATAAGGGTCAATTTTTCGAAATTGAGTTTTATACATCATATGAAAGCTGAATAAATAAGCTTTCCATTGATGTAAGGTTTGTTATGATAGGACAATATTTGGCCGAGATGCGACTATTTGAAAATCTGGAATCTGAGGGTGCAAAAAAATCAAAATATTGAGAAAATCATCTTAAAGTTGTTCAAATGAAGGTCTTAGCAATGCATATTACTAATCAAAAATTAAGTTTAGTTATATTTATGGTAGGACATTTACAAAATATCTTCATGGAACATGATCTTTACTTAATATCCTAATGATTTTTGGCATAAAA